CCAGATCTAGGACATCAGTATTTTCCAGCAAAAACCAGTCTTTCAGCCAGCAGAAGGCTGCAGCTTCATAGTACAACCTTAAGTCCGGCAGGGCAAATCCCCCTCTTTCTTTTGAGTCAGTTAGTATTTTGAACTTTATTCGGGGCTTTTTGCCCTGCCAGACAAACCTAGATATATCCTTCTGCCACTTTCCAAAACATTCCACTCTGTCCACGATCTGCAAGGTTTGAAACAAAAACAACATTTTCGGCAATACATTCATTTTTATAGCCGCAATTCTTCCCAACAAGGACAGTTTCAATCTTGACCAAATTTCTAAATCTTTTTTAACTTCCAGCCAACATTTCTCATAGTTATCTTTAAATAAATTCAAGTTTTTGGAAGACAAATTAATCCCTAGATATTTCACTTTTTTGACCACATTTAATTCTGTTTCTCTCTGAAATCCCTCTGTTTCTGTAGGTGTCAAATTCTTAGTCAGAACCTTAGTTTTTTGTTTATTCAGTTTAAACCCCGCCACTCGACCAAACTCAGATATAAGTTCAAGAACTCTTTTTGTACTGGGTTCTGGCTCCTGCAGTGTCAAAACTAAGTCATCTGCAAAAGCTTTCAGTTTGTATTGTTTCACTCCGACCTCTATCCCTTGTACCCTCCGGTCCTCCCTTATCATGTTCAATAGCACCTCCAGGACTGAAATGAACAAAAGAGGGGATAGAGGGCACCCCTGTCGTGTCCCTTTTTCAATTTTGAATTCCTCCGACACCACATTATTCACTATTAGTTTAGCTTTCTGCTCAGAATAAATTGCTTGTATTCCATTTTCAAACCCCCGTCCCGCTCCCATCCCTTCCAAATTTTTCTTCATAAACAACCAAGATATGTTGTCAAATGCTTTCTCCGCATCAATAAAGATTAACACCGCCCTTGTGTTCCTGTTAGTTTGCAAAAGCTCCAAAATATCAATGATGTTCCTGGTATTCTCATATAAATGTCTACCAGGGAGAAAGCCAGCTTGATCTTTATGAATTACTTCATTTAAGACCTTTTTAAGTCTGCTTGCCAGAATGTCAGCAAATATTTTGTAATCCACATTTAAGAGTGAGATGGGACGGTAGTTCTTAAGTTGGTTCTTTTCCGTTTCCACTTTCGGAATCAATGTGATGAAGGCTTCTTTCCACGACTCCGGTGTCTTCTTCCCCTCCATAATCTGGTTGCAAACCTCTAACAGAGGTTGTGTCAAATAGTCCTTCAAAGTCTTATAATATTTAGAGGTAAGTCCATCTGGACCTGGAGATTTGCCTAGTTGCATATTCTGAATGGCTCCTTCGATTTCCTGTGGGGTTATTGTTGAGTTCAAGATTGATCTTTTATCTTGGGTTATCTTTGGTAGTCCATTTGTCTTTAAAAATTGGTCTATCTCAGGTTCTTTCTGAGGCCCTTGTGCGTAGAGTTCTTTAAAGTATCTGTGGAAGCACTTCCTAATTTCTTCTGGTTTCTGCACCATTTTTCCCTCAATCTCTAGATTTGTAACTGTATTTAGCTTCTGTCTTTTCTTCAACTGCCAAGCGAGCAGTTTTCCACACTTATTTGCTGATTCAAATGATCTTTGTTTCATCTGTTTAATTTTCCATTCAATCTCTTGATTTATCAGTTTAGAATATTGTGCTTGATGGAATTTGATTTCTCTCAGCACCTCCTTTGACTTTGGTTTGGTTCTCAGTTTTTTCTCTCCTTGATGTATCTTCTCCAATATTTTATCCTTCTTTCCATTCCAGAGCTTTTTCTTGATTGTGTTTTGTTGAATCAGAAACCCTCTCATAACGGCTTTACTTGCGTCCCAGATCGTTCTTTTTTTTTTTTTTTTTTTTTTTTTAATTTTTTTTAAGATGCTGTCTTAACCTGCGAGTTACCTGGATTTAACTATTCATAAGAATGTAAGAAGAATCTGCTGGATCAGGCCAATGACCCATCTAGTCCAGAATCCTGTTCTCACAGCAGCTGGGCTTTGGAACACTGGAAAACAGGATTTGAACACAACGGCTGCTGATCCATCTTTCCCCAAAACATGATGCATCAGGCAGCCTGATAGACACCCCTGGAACCTTGTTTTATCAAAATATGGTGGAAGCAGATGTTTGGTTGCAACTAGGGTATTCTTAATGCTGTCCTTGTCTCCAAGATCCTTTTCCTCTCTACAACTTCAGCCCTCACCCACCAATTTATTCAAATGTAAGAGGGAGGGAAGGCACCCCTTCCAGATACTAAACTCCTTACTCCTTATTCATGTGGACTAGGGATGGGGCAAAAACCCAAATCCATTCACACTTAAAGAAGAACCTGTCAAATTTGCGCTTTCCGAAATGCTATGCAAACCAAAATCTGCACTTCCCTGAGTTTTGTGCTGCAGTGCTGCAGCCAAGTAGCAGGTGCAGAAATGCATCTACAAGAGTAAAGCGTGCATTAAAATGCATATGCTTGTGAAACGAACATATACAAATTCTGTCCGAAACTATTTCAGGAATAACTTTCTGACAGTAAGAGCTGCTCTATGCTGGAACAGACTGCTGCAGAAGATGGACTCTCCTTCACTGGTGGTTTTATTCAACAGAGGTTGAATGGTCACCTGTCAGGGATTCTTTAGTCGTGATTCCTGCATTGCAGGGGGCTGGACTAGATGACCCTTTGGGGGGTCCATTCCACCTCTACAATTCTTCAGTTCTATGAAATAAGACACATTCACCGAACCCATCAAATAAGCCACACCAGGAATGGAAAGGCGGAGTCAGAAGTAATGGGCTGTTATTCTTGGATTTTAAGAACCTAAGCTTCCCATCACCTCTCCCTCCTGCCTGAAAGATAATGCGAAAACAGTAATCACACTCCAGATCTCATCTGGAAAAGTGTTCAGAGTCCCAGGCCAAATGTTCTGCTGCTGCCTTGGACCTTCTTCGCCTGTAATTGCTTTGGGCTTCTGTTCAGTGCCTTGCAGCAGAAGACTCTCCCGGCGACAGCAGCGTGTGTTGGTTTCAGGAAAGGTGAGCTGGACAGGGATTATCCAGTCTAATGAAACCAAGCAGACTGTTCGGCTGCATCGCAGCTAGGCAAGCAAAATGTAGCTGCTATTCCGGCAGTTGTTGTTTAGTCGTATTGGAGCCTCAGCTTCAGGATGCTGTAGGAGATGAGACCTTGGCTTGACCCAGCAAGCTCTTCTTAGGTTCTTACGACAATGATGCTTCTGGGTACCAGTTGCATCATTGTCGTAAGATGTTCTGGTCCTGCTTGCAGGTTCCTCATTAGGTATCTGATTAGTCCTGTGAGGATGGGATGCAGGACACGATGAGCCATAGGCCTTCTGCAGGAGGCTCTGCTCATGTATTTATGTCCTTCAAATAGCACCTACAGTAAATCCCATTTTAAAATATATCCACCTTGAATTTGTTTTCTCCTTTTCTGTGTTCGTTCTCCCCCCACAACCTCTGCTTTCCTTGGGAATCAAGCCTGTGGGTGGATGTTTGTTAATTTAAACCTCATATGGAGTAGAGGAGCAATAGCCTGCTAATATAATAACTAATTTTAAATATGCATTGGCTCCATTAATAGAAAATCCGATCCCCTGTGAACTGTGGCACCCAGATGACTATTATGCTGGGGGAAATCTCAGTATTGAAACCTACATAATTATTAGTACATATATAATTAATGTTTACAATATCAGCGGAACCGGAGGTTTATAAATGCATAGTTTCACATACATATCTCAGTGCTTTGAGCTAATATATGTTGAAGGGCAGAAATGTATCAAATTGCCACGTTTTAATTACACAGTCTGCCCCTTTAAGGAGTGATTCAATTTTCCAGCATTTGGATTTGTAAACTCTGTTAATTTGTTGGTTCTCTTCCAAGTACTGGTGAGGTTCATTTTCTACTAACGCTTCGATATATATTTCCTCCCAAATGTATAGATCTCCATACATGACATATTTAATAACTGAGGGTCTGCTGTAGTTACAGATGCAGTGGTTGTGAGCTAGTTATGAAATCCCTAGTTCAAAGCACGGACGTATTAAAATGTCTTAAGCAAGTCACTGTTCTCTAATCACCAACATCCATTTGAATCACAGAGATCCCCTTTCCTTACAGAAGAAAAATTGTATTTCTGTGTTGATATCTGGGGAGGGCGGGCAGGGTGGAAAGAATGATGGGAACAAAATTCTGCCTCTCCACAGCCACCTCCCAAAGTATGGGGGAGTTTGTCAGGATTTTATTCCAGGACAGAGAAGGATTTGGGGGGTTCTTAAATCGTTCTCCTCCTTCGAGAGGCCGGCTTTTGTCATCCCTGTCCCGCACAAGCTCATAGCAATGCCCGAATCTGGAGAACAACTTTGGCATCTCTAGTAAGGCTGAGATAGTGTAAGAAAGTGGCGGAAAGTACTTTTTCATGCAGTGCCTAGTTCGACTATGGAACTCGCTCCCACGGGAGGCAGTAATGGCCACCATTGGATATAGCCCATAGCTAGATAGATCTTCCTATATAAATAGAAATGGAATGCTGTCATCACGCGGCCCCTATTGGAGGATTTGTAGTGCCTGATCACAGTCCTGGACTTGCATGAAGTCAGAGCAGGGGAAGGGAACAACAGAGAAGGCAACTTTTAAACAGCAGAGGTTTGAGTAAATCAGGGCAGAGGGACACAGAGGAACAGAGAGGGTATGAGGGGCATGAAGGCGCTGTGAGGATATAGGGGCTGCCCGTCAGTGTAGACAATATTGAGCAGCATGGGGACTCAGTATAAGGCAACAGCCTATGTCCAATTGGTTGTTGTTTTGCTACAGCTGTGTCAACCCTCTTATTGTGGAGTAATGTTTTTTCTCTCTGACATGATCCTCCTTTGGGAGTCATAGAATTGCAGAGTTGGAAGGGCCCAATCCAATCCAACCCACTGCAATGCAGGAATCTCAGTCCACTGGTTCTAAATTCTGCTATGTTTTCTCCACTTCAGCAAAGTCCCAAGACCCCTTTCTCTAACCTGGCGGATGACGAAAAGATCTTCAACGGCGGAGACAGCCTGTGGACGGAACAGAACCAGGAGCATGCCCTGCTCTCCGAAATCACAGAGGAGGACCTGCAGGTCATCCGCCAGCGAGAAGAAGCCATCCAGCAGATCGAGGTCAGTCACTGTCATTGCGGGGAAACTGGAAGCCTCTGAGAATACAGTGCTTCAGCCCTGATGGGATTTTTGGAAATGTGGAGGAATATTAAGTGTGTGTGCAGTCCTTTGTGGGAATCCTGCTACACTGAGAAATCCTCAACCGTTAGGGGTTTGGGAAATACGCTTGGCTGAGAAATAGTCCGATACAGTTCTGCTTGGAAGCTAATTTGGACTGTGAAAGTGCCTATTGGTGTGGTGAAAATTCAGCTCAGGGATCTTGCCAACAGAAAAGCAATACCATTAAAAAAAAAATGTTAGTGCTTAATCAGCAGCCATTAGGCACAAAGATTACAGTGGTACCTCGCAAGACGAATGCCTCACAAGACAAAAAACTCGCTAGACGAAAGGTTTTTTGTTTTTTGAGCTGCTTTGCAAGACGATTTTCCCTATGGGCTTGCTTCGCAAGACGGAAACGTCTTGCAAATTTGTTTCCTTTTTCTTAACACTGTTAATACAGTTGCGACTTGACTTCGAGGAGCAACTCATAGAACGCGGTGTGGTAGCCTTTTTTGAGGTTTTTAAAGCTTTTTGAGGTTTTTGAAGCTTTTCCAAAACTTTCCCGACACCGTGCTTCGCAAGACGAAAAAAATCGCAAGACGACAAAACTCGCGGAATGAATTAATTTTGTCTTGCGAGGCACCACTGTATGAGTTTATATACTTGGTCTGCGCAGTGATTTTAATTTAAACAGGAATCTGTAACACAGAACCAGCCAGACACTGGCCTTGCTGGTGTTGTTGCTGTGTTGTGTTTTATGAAATTTCAGTTTCTTGGGGCCTGTTCCCTAAAATGCCACTTTTGTACTGAAAATCACAACACACACACACATGAAACCTGTTGTTTGCCACCAGGGATTCTTTAGCAATAAGCATTCCAGATTTTTATATATATAAAAAATCTTTTCTTTAACTGACTGGAAGCTGTGTTGATGTAAGTGGTTTTACTACTCTTTTTACTCTCAGCTTTTATATATACATTAAAAAAATGTTGCCTAGCTGCCTTTGCTTTGTTGTTAACTGCCTTGAGCTTTGGGGACATTTTGGACTTTTTAGTTTAGAGGAAAGGTGAGCGAGAGGTGGCAGTGCAGAAATTTATAAAGCTCTCTTGTAACACTACAACTCATGGGCACCCAATGCAACTGGATGTGGGAAGATTAGGACAGAGAACTGAGGTCCTAGTTGAACTATGGAACTTGTTCCCAGGTGTGGCAAAGATGGTCACCAACTTGGGAGAGAGCTATCTATGGCTACTAGCAGGAATGGCTATATTCTGCCTCTACAGTTGGAGGCCTCAGCACTCCTGAAGACAAAGTTGCTGGAAACCGCAGGAGAGGAGTGGGATCTTCTTCTGAGGTCCTGCTTGCAGGTGTGCTGGGCCTGGGGGTAACCCATGAAACGCGGTCCAGGACCGGTCCAGAATCCAAAGGTTCCGCTAGGAGTCAGTCCAGCCAAGGCAGGACACGAGGCAGGAAACCAGGCAAGGACAGGTACAGGCTCTCAGGCAGGATCTGGCATACAGCAATGTTGCTCCCGCAACCTGGGGCGGGGTCCGACAGCCTTTTATCTTTGTCAGGGTGCCAGCCGGTCCTGATCCCCCAGCGACTCACCTCCCTGTCTCGCCTAAAGGTGAGCACTCCTCCTGCGAGTACTCAGGTCTCTCCTTCTCTCAGACCTTAGTCACTGCAACTTGGGAGATGTTGGTGGGTTACTAGACCCAGAAGCCGCCACAGTCTCCCCTAACCCAACCGGTAGTGGAGCAGCTGTGAGTGATAGCCCAGCTGAAGGCAACGAGGGAATCCCTGCATCTGGAGCCAGGGCAGGCTCAGGCCCCTGACTCGACCCAGCTGGTTTTTGTTTCAGGGAAACCTGTGCAGACTGGGACTCTTCAGGATCAGGCCCCAGACTTGGTTCAGATGCCGACTGAGGCAAAGGATCCAGTGCGGACTGAGACTCCTCCAGTTCCGAGTCCCAGGCCATCACATCACTACCCTAAGGAGTCTCAAAGCGGCTAACATTCTCCTTTCCCTTCCTCCCCCACAACAAACACTCTGTGAGGTGAGTGAGGCTGAGAGACTTCAGAGAAGTGTGACTAGCCCAAGATCACCCAGCATGTGGAGGAGCAGGGAAGCAAACCCAGTTCACCAGATTACGAGTCCACCACTCTGAACCACTACACCACACTGGCTATCTATTGCTACTAGCCGGGATGGCTGTGTTCTGCCTCTACAGTTGGAGGCATCAGTGCTCCTGAAGACCAGTTGCTGGAAAACACAAGAGAGGAGTGGGATCTTCTTCTGAGGTCCTGCTAGCAGGCTTCCCACAGGCATTTTGGTTAACCACTGTGAGAACAGGATGCTGGGCCAGACGGGCCTTTTGGCACAATCCATCAGGCTCTTCTAACCTTCTTATGAGCTTTGCTGTGTAGAATTGTACATACATCACTATCATCTCCTCAACATGCTTCTGACTTTCCTTGTAAATCCCCGCCACTACCATTGCCACCCGCAGCTTAAATGTGAAGGCAACGCTCATATACAAACATAAATTATCAGGAGCTTCCTTGTACTCTCACACCATCTTGGTCAGCGTTGCCAGTATTTGAAATGGCACCGCTTCCCCAAGTGGGAGATGTTTCAAGAAAGGTTGCTCACAGTTCAAGGACAGATCATTTGTTTTCTGTTCAGGGTCTCTTCTCTTTCAGCCCTTGACATGTTCAGCAACAGGTGTCTCAGGTAGAATCACCTGGAAAAGACCTCTCTTCCTGCTAGGTTTGAGTTGTTGCTCTAAGTAGTGGTGATGGTGCTGTTGTGCTCAGATCCTTCTTCTTTCTACATTCCCCCAGTTGGCCACTATGAGAACAGGATGCTGGTCTAGATGTTTTCCCTTTCACTTGATCCAACAAGGTTCTATTGATGTTCTTAATGCTGGGCTCCATCAGCAAATGGTGAGGCTTCACAAGAGGCAGCTCTGTATGTTTTCCACACCCGTCATTTTTTTTTAATTGGAAATTCCTTGACTCTTTCAGAAGGTGGTGGACTATCCTTCACTGGAGGTTTTTAAGCAGCAGTTGGATGATCACATGTCATGGATTCTTTAGTTGAGATTCCTGCATTGCAAGGGGCTAGACTAGAGGAGACTGAGAGGAGATATGATAGCCATCTTCAAATATCTCAAGGGCTGTCCCATGGAAGATGGAGGAAGCTTGTTTTCTCCTGGGTAGGACTCCAACCAATGGCTTCAAGTCATAAGAAAGGAGATTCTGACTAAACATCAGGAAGGACTTTCTTACAGTAGCAGCTGTTTGAAAGGTTGTGTTCTCTTCTTCATTGGAGGCTTTTAAGCAGCAGTTGGGTGCTCATCTGTCTTAGAAGCTTTCGTTGAGATTCCTGCATTGCAGAACTAGATGACCCTTGTGGTCCCTTCCAACTCAACAATCGTATGATTCAGTGGTCCCTTAGATGTTGTCTCTTGGCAGCATGCACTGAGCTACAGCCACTGCCCACACCTCCAGCTAACCAATAGGACAGCGGTTCTCAACCTGTGGGTCCCCAGATGGTGTTGGACTACAACTCCCATCATCCCTGAGCTCTGACCTTGCTAGCTAGGGGTGATGGGAGTTGCAGTTCAACAACATCTGGGGACCCACAGGTTGAAAAAGGCTGCAATAGGAAGACAGACAGGAAAGTCTGCTCAAATTTTGACCCTCTTCTAGAGTCACACCAAACCATCTTCTGGTCTTAGCATTAAGTGTTGGGAACCCTGATATTTCCAGTGTCTTAAACTGTGAGAGAAGCCTCCCAAGGAGACTTCAAGCAGGACATTCATTTCTGCTGCCCTCCCTCCCATGTTTTCTTAACAATTAATGGGCTGGAGAGGATTCCACCCCAATAGTGTTTTATTATTATTATTTTAAAAAATAAGAACAACAAACATCCTATTTGCATGTCGAGGTCCTCCAATCCACCCCCAAATGATTCACACTTCACACATAATTTTTGTTTAAGGCTTTTTGCATAATTTTGGTCACAACTTTATTAAAATACATAAATATGAGTGGTTGCTTAGGCATTGGATATGACTATCTGTTCCCACGCCTAGGGACAGAACTGACTTCCAGATTCCAGCGAAAGCCAGTAAGGGAAAACAATATTGGGGAGAGCATGGAGCTGGGCACCAGACCCTCACACCCCCCCCATGCTCCTTGGGGCTTGCACGGCCCTAAGCCCCCTTCAGGGGTACAGACGAAAGAATGGCAAGCCCCTGGATTCCTTTAATGGAATTCCCTTTCTGCAGCAGCATTGGAGGGGCAGTCACCGCCAACCCTTACCCCTCCACCAACCAATTTTTAAACCAATGCCTAACCGCAACCTTACAAGTTGTGACGATTTGCTACGCAGTAGGCAAAAACCAAATGGCACCAGCCAATCAGCCAATTGGACAAAATTCCTACCAGGCCCCTGCCCCCAAATCAGGCAACCCCATGACAGGCATAGCAAGGTCAACCAAGATTCCTAAAATTAGCGAGGGTAGGTGGGTGATCCGATGCACACAGCAAAAGTGTATAGTCAGAGCTGCGTGACTTCATTTTATAACCTTTGGACCAATCCCCTAAATGGCAACACCAAAATTTGCCCAACAATCCAACCTCCCAATCACTGTGGATGGTCATCCAAACTAACCCGCCCAGCAACAGAGGGGTGGCCTTCCAGACCCCACCACAACACGTGCTCTCTATTAATGAGAACAGGATTTCCAAAGTACTGACGTTGAGAGGCTTTCTGTCTCTTCTTCTGAAGTGCACCCTGTGTTTTTTCCTTACTCCTTCCTTTAACCCCAGTGTTGAATGCAAGCAACTCAGGAAAAATAAGATGTTTGTATATATATCTCTCTCCCTCTCCATGCAGGGCTTAAACTGCAAATGAACTCTGCGCTAGGAGTGCACAATAAATCACAAGATTG